ATATATATATATATACACATGTAAATCTGAGAAATCAGAGAGTGCGATTTTTTTGAGAGCAGAGGTTAAAGTTAAAGCAGCTCCGTCGGGTGTAAACGGCCGCGCTTTCCGAGGAATCGGAATTGTCTTGTCACAGCCGCCACGTTCAACAACGCCACAGCATTGTTCCGTTGATCCTGCAAGCTTCTGGTTGCAAGTTAAGTTGGTGTTTTCTAGCAGAGTATGTGAAACCGCAGGTGTGTAAGGCCTGTCATGATGATGATGATGATGGTGATGATGAGGATGATGGTGATGATGATGACGATGATGATGATGATGGCGATGATGGTGATGGTGATTGTCATGATGATGATGATGGTGATGATGATGAGGAGGAAGAGGACGACGTCGAGTCTGGCATTCGTGACAACAATGATGATCAATATGCTTCTTATGACAGGCGTGATCAACAGGAGAAACGGTGATGAAGCACTCAATGAAGCACTGTGATGTGAGCCTGGCTTCTGAGCTGCTTGCAGGTTCTCCATCGTAAGACACGTCTTTAACGATCCTCGTCTTCTCAAGCAGAACACGAGAGCCGTTCGAGCTGGATTACTAAGCCCAACGCCCGTGGATCCTGCTTCCCGCCCCATGGAGATTTTGCAAGATTTAGCCACAGCGACTCAGACTGATTGGGATGTGCATAGCTCTGGCAGCATCAGCAACTGTCAGAAGTCCAGCAGCAGCAGCAGCAGCAAGTAAAACTCTCACAGCCGGAGATTAGAAGAGCATGAGCACCTCTGCGATGCTTTCGATCCCGTCTACAGTATGAAAATCTCATCTCAATTCCGCAGGCCTGGGGGTTCTCCTCCAACCACTTCGTGGTGCTCTCTGCGGCTTCCCGGATCTGGCAGGCTGGAAACGGCTCACAGCACCGGCACCAGCAACAAGAGCCCTCCGTGAGGGAATCTTCAGCTTCGGCGTGCTTTTTCGACCCAGGGAAACCGTTCTCTGCTGTGCTGGCTTCAGGCTTCTGAAGAACTGGAGCCACTGGAGCCCCTTTCAAGCCCAATGCTGAGGCTCAGGGTAAGTCGGGACTCCCCAACGGACATCGAAGCTTCTTGCTTAAGGGCTACGATTTCGAGATGCAGTTGCTGCACACTGACGGGGATGACTGTGCTTCCTGGCACGCTTTGCTTTGGGGACTTCGTACTCTGGGCTTGAGGTTTAGAACTTGGGGGGGCAATCATGGTGCCCTCTACTGCAAAGCATCAATTCTTGGAGCCCAAGAAACCCTGACTCTAAGCCATAAGATCCATTATATACGGACAAAAGGAGCCCTTTAATCAGGTTCCCAAATCAGGTTGAAGGCTCCAGTCCCACGCGCGTCGCAAAATCTGCTGTCGCCTCGCCTTGCTCCGATCTTCCTCCGTGAACTTGTCTTTCAGGTCATCCCGGTCGAGGGATCCTCGCCGCTAGGCTGCGGAAGGACGCGGGGAGTCGCCCCGGAGCGACGGCTTCGGGGTTTTGTCAGGGCTTTCAGGGCCATGCGATGCTCGGGTTCCGACATTTCGGGGGGCCGTTCCCCACTGGGGAAAGGGCTGCTTGTCATCTCCGAAAGCTCCTAAGCAGGCCTGTGCTACCCACCCTGCGTCTCCAATCCTCTGGGCAAGTCTCCCACTCGAAGTCAAAAACTAAAGGCACAGGCTATCCGCAGAGGAATTCCCACAAACGATATCAGCAAGCCTGAGACGGAATAGGCGTATCTCTCCAGCTCGTTGCGGGCCTGCATCGCTCCGCCCTATGTCCCTTAATCAAGGCTACCAGGCTATCTATTTAAGCTGCAGGAATTGGGGTGCATGCCTAAGCTTTCTGAGTTTCTCGCATGCATCAGAAAAGGTTTTCGTGTCCTAACTTGCGAGAGGCTCAAAGCGAACGCCTCAAAGTTGTTCGCGCTCTATCTTAACGCATACGCCTCAGATCTCAGATTTCTTCGCGATCTGACTTGCGGGATGTATCACGAAAACTGTAATCGTACATCTCAAGGCTGTTCGTGTTCTATGTTCCGGGATGCACCACGAGAATCTCGAAGCGCGCATGGGATTTAGGGTTTGGGGGACGCCGTGCGCTGACTCTTTGGTGGCCTGTGTTCCGTCTTCAAGTGCCCTACTCACTTCCGATGGATCGGAGTTGCGGCTTCAGCACCTAAAGCCTAAACCACCAAACCGTAGGAAAATTGGGAGAAATAACCCGTACCCCCAAGAGCCGAAGACCCAGAGCCTGAAGCCTTAAACCCAGAGCCCGAAGAACGTCGAGGGCCCCCTTTTGCCTCCACGGACTTCCGAATGGCTTCGTCCTCGCTTCGGTACTTCTCGGCTTCCTCTCCAACAGGGGGAAGTCGCCCAGGGCAGCTTCAGTTTTTTGGGGAACTTCGGACCTTCTCTCGGGTGTCGTGCTTCGGGGCCTTCCTATGGATCCCTATTCTCGATCTTCTGTGATCTTCTGTGGGTTTAGTTAGGGTTTAGGGTTCGAATTGTTATGAATTGTTACTAGGGCTAGGGCCTCTGGGACTCTGTGCGCCAGGCCGAACCCCAATACCAAAGCCCGACAAAAGAGGCAGCATATATGGCAAATGCAAGTACTGCGACTCCTCTCGAGATCCTACTGCGGACGCTCTGGTGCCGCCAAGAGGACTTCCGCGCGATCGGCGCGAAGCGCTTTCCAACCAGACCCGAAACCTGCGCCCTTGCAGTTCTGGCCGGGCAGCGCGCGCCTTCACCATGCGCTCGATCCTGACAGCTACCGCGTCTGGGTCATATACTGCTGCAAGAGATGTGAAGCAGTGGCCGCAAGGACCGACACGACCCCTTCCATCAGAGGCATGCTGCACCAATTGCCCCGAACCACCGGGAAAAACCTTGAGCCATTCGTCCCCAACTCTTACAGGAGAACGGGCCATGGCCGACAACACGAGGCACGAGGGCCTGAGGAATCCGAGAGTCTCTGAAAAAAACAGCCCCTAAACTGCTCAAAGATGACTGCCGACGGGAAGCTCGTCTTTGGAGAGGCGTCCTTTCTCATTCGTGATGGTGATCTTATTCGACCTGTGCAGGTCTTCGGGGCTTCTGTGGGGTAGCAGATGCGAAGTGTCACCATGCAGGGCGTGGCGCCATGAATAGCAGGAAGGAGCCAGTGCTTCACGGCTTAACCTCCTAGCCGAAGCATGCCGAAGTTGTTTGAGCCCCTGCTGCAAGATTGCGCGACCGAGGCATGTGCTTTCCAGTCGTCTTGTCTGCTGCAGACACGTTGAGGATCTGGCGGCAAGGAAAAACCGATTCCCAAACTCACCGTTCCTCTGCATGATGCTCTACACCTACATAGCGCCGCTTGCGAACACCACGTACATACGACAGTGGGCACAGCCTGCGTGCGTATTACGAGCCTTCCTGTTCATGTCTTTTGGGGTTGGCGCATGGTGAGCCCCAAGCCACCAAAGCCACCACAGTCTTCCTCCCCACAGAAGCCGAGCAAAGCTGAGGCGGGCGAGCCCCATTGGAGTCCAAGTCAAAAGCGACCTCGATCTGAGGAACCTGAGGGCACATCCAATCTTCATATGAGGCAGTCACGATGGTTGCTGTCGCTGTCTTTCTTCATGGATGCTGCTACTCTGCTACTGCTACTTCGACATCCGATAATTGATGGCGATGGTGATAGTGAGTGGTGATGCTCATACGGCTGAAGAAGAAGATGATGATAAGGCATCGGTGGTGGTGGTGGTGGTGGTGGTGGTGCTGGTGGTGGCGGTGGGGGCGGCGGCGGCGGCGGTGGTGGAACTGTTGGTGAACTGCAACTGACATGAGCACGAGCATGAGCATGAGAATGCAGATGGGGCTGAAGAACATCAGCCGAGCGAAATGGTCTTGCAGCCTGTCGCTCCCATTCTGCCAACTGCCCCTGGATACCACTTGCCCCGAAACACTGCTTCAACTTGAGCGCACCGTGAACCCTAGTTAACCGTGCTCACAAAGCACATCAGGCGCAAAGCAAGCCTGCGGTGATTGAGCCCTAAACTTCGAAGAACCCTAACGGCCCAAAGGGCCCTAACACCCTCAAACCAAAGCTGCTGACATCCCAAATTGCCAAAACCTTGATCCTCACAGAGCCGAAAAGGCCCGGTCCGGTCTAACCCAAACTTCTCCCAGCCGCAGCCGCGGGGCGCCACGGGGTGCTGGAGGGATGCTGTCCAGGTTGAAGGAGCCGAGCAGCCGGTTGTCCCTGAATAGTTTGGGGATTACGGTTACGGGGTTTGGAGAGGAATGATGGATCTTCCGAAGGCTTGACCTACGTTGTTTGGCTTAGGGCCACGCAGTTAAGCGTAAGAGCTTACATGTCTATGGGGAGTCGCGAAGGGCTTCGGGGGTTGAGGGTTGACGGTTCAGAGGTTTAGGACGGTTGCCTTTTCTCCAAGCTTGGGACAAACAGGCTTGGATCAGTTCCCATTCAGGTCTGCGTTCGCTTCGCAAATGTTCGTGGCACGGGATGCCTACTTAGTACAAGTACTTCGGATCTGTAGATCATCAGAAGTCTCGCAAAGTCTACGCAGAGCCTTGTCATGGAGCGCTCGCCTTCATAGACCTGCGTCGACATTTCGAGTCTGTGCTTCGCTCTTGCTCTAACTAGGGTTTATTCCCTGAGGGGCTTTGGGTTTAGTTTTGTGTCTTTAACCTTTAGTATCCCTGTCGATCCCGACGATGCTACAGCCGTCGGCATGCTTCGGTGCAAGCAAGCAAGCAAGCAAGCAAGCAAGGGAGGACGGAAGGCAGGGAAGCAGGAAGCAAGCAAGCATGGTAGGGTCCGCTCGTCGTGGAAGAATGTTGCTTTTTTGCCGCTCGGGGACCGCGGCTCTTTGCTGCGACCTTGAGCTGCTCATGGATACTCCCGGGCATCTACAAATTGGTGACCGTCGGGATTTTGCAAGAAGTTTACATTCTGGACAGCTGTTTCTGCGCATGCTCTTTTCATCTTCAACTTGGAAGCTCGGATACAGCCGGATCAGATAAAGGTTGATCGACAACCGGCAAACATCATAGAACGCTCGAGTTGTCTGATGCTTCGAAAGCTGTTGTTGCACACTAAACCCGAATCGCTTCCAAGAACAATGCAAAGAGACTTGCGCGGAACCCATCCGGCCAGCCCACCCTGACGTGACAGCTGGAGCGCAAGAGCCAGAAAGAGTGCTTCCGAAGGCACCTGGATGGTCACGGCAGTCTGGTTGTCGGAGTAGGTAGAAAAGACCTGCAAGACAGGCACACAGTCAAACAGTGCCAAAGTTCCCCCGCCTCTTCAGCATGTTCTTCCGTGCATGAACTACACCATTCTAGGTCTGCTTACTGGCCCGAGCGAGGGTTCGGCGGACAAGCCTATAAGGTTCAGGCGTAACGGACCCTTGGCGGGTCATACGAGAGCTTGTTGGATTTGGGCGATGTGCTAGTTCCTGGGTGGAAAGAGTAGCGCTTGACCTACATGTTGGACTTTGCGCGAGATTCCTTTCCGCATCCCCTCTGGACTTGGCCGTGCCGGGAAGTTGGAGGTTTCAGCGTGCCCTGCGGTCTGATGCTCCGTCAGGCAGCTGGAGACAGCATTAAGGCGTAGCAACCCAGGGCCCTGAACCCCGAAGCCGAACGCCGCCGAACGCCCGGCGCCTGCTTCTTGTTGGTGGGTATGGTGGAGTTCCTCTCAATGAGCCTGGCAGGCCAAGTCTTCGGAGCCCTCCAAGCCCAGAGCCGGCTTTGGGGATGTCGCCCCTCAAGCCAAAAAGATCCCACATCCTTTCGAAGGTTTGGGGTCTCTAAGCAGTGCTCCTCATTTGTTGGGCTGATGGTCTAGGTAGGCCTGGGCCACTGAAGTCTTGCACATTCGGAAGCAGCAAACCAGAAGCTTGGAACCCTCGACGAAAGAAAGGAGCCTTGTCATCACTCCACCCGCAGTTTCCTGGGCTCTTTGAAGGGGCTCGCCCGTGGGCTGGGCTCAGGCTCGAAGGCAATGCTGTATGATGTCAGCGAAGCTCACGACAAACCCACGACTCCCAACACGGACTTGCTGCAAGGGCGACCACACCTACCAGGTGCAAAGTCGCAAGTAGCAATCTGTCTAAGTACTTTGCCACAGCCGCGTTATAACTCAACTGCACGCCGCTAGAAGTAGCCCTGGTCACAACTTCCAGACTTCAACCCTTGCCCCCCATCCCTCACAAATTTCGGGTTTTGCCAGGGCAAGTGCAACCCCATGAGCTCGGGATCGGAGAATTCACAAGGACACCGCTCCAAGGCACCCTGCTTAGGAGCTCACGGAAAAAACTCAGTTGCTCCAGGCTCAAATCGCCCTCCCCCGGAAGGAGGGGGGCGGGGGTTAATGAGGGAAAGACGTGCTACCCTAAACCCTAAACCTTCGCTTTGTGAGGCCAGGCGTCGAGGCCCAGGGAAAGAGGCGTCACATCCAAAAGCACGAGGTCTTTCAGCGGAGAATCTTTCCCCTGGCCGGTGGAGAAGACAAGCCCGCTTTGAGCTGCACCAGGCCCTGCTCCGTCAACATAAAGGTAGAGCTCTAAACTAGGGTCCCGTTTTTGGGGTCCTTTTATAAGGGTGCCCTACAGTACTGTATTCTGGGGACCCAAAAAGGGATCCTAATTTAGAGATCCACCCATAAGCTTCAACGCTGGGGCTTCAATTCCGCATCCCTGGATCCATGCGCCAAGGCCAAGCCCTGGAGTCCAAAACATTGTGGCCCCCTGAAGTGTGCGCAGAGACCTACTTGGAACTTCCGTAACAGGGCAAGACCTCGGTTTGCAAACGAATCCCTGCCGCTGCAGGTGCCGTTCCGCCTGCAAGTAGTGGACTCGGGACCTCAACCCTTTGAAACATACCATTTCGGCTAGGCCATCTTCGAGGCTACGGGCCGAGAATCGCATGTTCTCAAGCGCTCCAATCCGAAACCCGCAGGCAAAGGCCCCTGACATGGCTCCCTAGTTCCGCCTTGACGCCGCTCAGAACCGCTGCTTGCACGGCAGCACCGTACGCGACCGCCTTTCACAACAGTGAGAGAAAAAGAGCTGAAACTCTCAGTAAACACTTCAACTCCTGAAGCGGAGCTGTGTATTCAGGCTTGCCTTTTTCCTGGAAAAAACACTTGCTTTCCACCACAAGCCTATCTGAGCAAGGGTTGGGGATACCCCCAAAGCAGGGGACAGCGCAGACATCGAATGCCGCCGATGTTCCCAAAGCAAGTCATCATCAGTTTTCTAGTCTGCCGTCAGACGGAGGCCTCGCAACCCTCAGTTGCCTCCCACCAGGAAATAGCCCGAACATAGAGGCCCTTTCGTGTTCTGCCAACTTCACCCGAACCTTGCCTTCCATTCGCAACGAACGTAGAAGACACATTCAATGTGCAACATGCCAAGCTCGAGGCCACCGCATCAGCATGCTTCGAAACCCTAGACCCTGACCCTAAGCCCTAAGCCCACGACTGCAAACCCTGAGCCAGCCAGACCATGGAGAGACCAGTTTCCCAAGAACTGCACCTCGTCCGCGTTGATCGAACGGCACGGCTCTTTCCTGAAGTATTCCTCCAGGCAAACACCCGGTGTGTAGATTTGATGCTGGGGGGACTCTAGCACATGTGGGGCGGTGACAGCGTTGGAGCCTCGATGAGCTTCTGGACGTACGGTATCCTGGTGGAGCCCCCGATCAGCACTACCTGCACCATGATTCGAGGATGTTGCTGCAAGCTTGGCGGCTAGACTCGCAGCCCCCTGTCCCAATTACTACAGTACAGTCCAGATCTGGCCAAAATTCCTAGCCAAGATTTCAGGAACAGCCCAACAATAGTATGTTACAATATATTCTAGCATACCATAGTATCTTCTAGTATATTCTTGCATATCCTCATATAGTCTTCGCATTCTCTAGTACCTCATTATATTATAGAATATTATAGAAGGTATATTGTACAGGCGCTGGGGCCGGAAGCTTCGCCTCGTCAATCGCTTTCCGATCGACTTTCGCATCGCTGATCACCTCGTCGCTTGCAGGGGCGCAATGCAGTGTACACTGCTATACGATCACACAGTACAGTATGGTATGGTATGGTATGGCATCGTATGGTATGGTATCGTATGGTATGGTGTAGCGTAGTATAGTGTGGTAGAGTGCAGTACTAAACTATGCCAGACAAGACAAACTATACTGTACTGTACTAGACTAGACTAGAGTATACTAAAGCAGCTTATAGGTTCTATAGGCATTTCCTTTACGAGAGCTTCCGAGCATCGCGGAAAGCACTTTACGCACTGAAGCCCAACCCCAGAGCGAGTTTGCTCCTCACCTTCTCCACCGAATCCATCGACCGCTTGAACAGGTCTTGGTTCAGCTCCTTCCGGGATACGAAGTCGGGGGTTTTCTTTAATTAGCATCCCCAAGAGGAGACCCAAACACACATTATACTTATACAGTAGTCCTGGGCCCTGCACACACTCACCGAGACCCCCAATGGAAAAAGACAGCATGACTTTTATCAAGGCAACCCGCAGAGGAGGGTAGTCTATACTTGAGGGTTGGGCAATCTCGATCAATGTCGGGACTTCCCATGGCGACCAACGTGGGACGTCCGGAGCCCAACGCCCAAAACCCTTGAGCTCACGTTTCCTCGAACTTCGCCCGGCTCACTGCCAGGGAGAAGTCTAGCCCGTCCAGGAGGGAATCCACCTCCGCGAAGGAGTGCAGGGTGAGGCTTCGAAGGGTTCTGAGTCAGGAGTGTTTGCGCCAATAGTCCGATGGGTTGTGGCTTTTGTAAATCGAGGAGTTGGACACCCCAACAACCTTAGGTAGGGCGCCAGGTGTAAGGTTCTAGGCTGCAGGATGTCAGCAGGGACTGCAGATGATTTCGCCGGCGGTCCCGAAGCCAACGGCTTACACGGGAGTTGCAGTGTGAGAACCCTCTAGAAGCATCACAGAAGGCCCACCGGAGCCTCGATGGATGCCTGCGTGGACGAGGAGAGCGTCCTCTTGGCCTGGTCAAAGCGGACGAAAAACCCGCTGTGGTCTTCGGAAGAGCTTTGAGGCTTTAGAGGCTCAGGGCTCAGCAAGTTGAGTGAAGTTTCGCTGTAGCTTTGAAGCTCAAGGGCTTAACACACCAACGGTGTTCAGAAGAAAGCCGGGTTGTTGGGGGCTCGGCTGGGCTTGGAAACAGCCAATTGTGCGAACTGCTGCTGCGGAAGAAAACCCTTCGCTTCCACCCCACTTGACGCTTCACAAGCCCTAAACATCAAAGCCCAATACCGTCCACGATCCGAAAACTCCGAAAAGCTCCGGGGAATACCTGTCTTAGGCCGCTAGGCCCCGGCTGCATCACACTCGGCTTGAAGTCGCCGAAGGGCCCGTTGATTCTTGCGGACCTCCTTTCACATTAAGATCCGTTTTCTTGCCTCTGCATGCATAAGTCTGAATCTTACAATGTGAGAACAAGCAGGATTTGCTGCAGCACTTGCCCGCTGTAGCCAGTGAAAACGGTGATCAAGCGTATCTTGTGTCTGTGTGTATGCGCATATGTGTGTATGTGTGCGCATGTCTTGTAATGCCAACGGGGTACCGTCGAGGCCTAGTCGGCGAAGTCCAGGCTTCTTGGATTCTGGAGCTGTCCGATGCTTTCGCCGGCCGTGACACAAGTTATCCCGGAAGCACGACACGCAGTGCTTCCCCCTGAGGCTCAACACCTCAAACCCTCCAATGCACAACTCTGCCAGGGCCTTTCCGCGGTTCTTCTTTTCGAACTCCTCTGGCGATTGCTTGACCACTCTGGCGCTGGCAGCACCGGGATATCGATGTTTCGTTTGAGGCTTAGGGTATAGGGGGCCAGAAGTACTTTATTTTAAGGAGCTTTTCGGTTAGGGGTTTTAGTCTTGAGTCTTGAGGCTTAGTTAGGCAGCCCCAGCCCCAGCCCCAGGTTGCCGTAGGGCCGTAGGGGCTTTCTAGCCTTCACTGGGATGTCGCGGCCCTAGGCTGCTGCAAGGAATCCTGAAGAAAAGGCTGAAGCTACAGAAAGCCACGGGCATCCTACCAAAAGCTTTACAAAACCACCAAGAACTAAAAGCAAGCTCGGCTGTTGCTAGTTTTGGGTGCTGCGACTCCGAAACCAAGGCCGGTGTAGGAGGGCCCATGGTAGCCCCTCCTTGATGCAGTGCTCCAGAAGGCGATTGCTAAAGTCCTGGGCTAGCAGAGCACATGAGCCCCCATGCGCAGTCAGCACATCACACCAGTTACTACATACAAAGCCATCCTTAGCACCGTGATGAGTGCACGAACCATCACCGTTACAGTGTCCTCGCCGCCGAGGTGGGTGTCCCCAGCAGTGGCCTTGACCTCAAAGACGCCGTCCTTCGGGAGCATCGAGATTAGGCTTGCTTTAAGCAGCTTCCTCTCCAACCCGACGCCCAAGCACCAAAACCCTAGGCCCAGCCTAAACCCCAAGCCAGAAACCCCGAACAAATGCAAAACCCCTCAAAGCCCTAAAAGCAGTGATATGCAGGCGTCGGCTCGGAGATCTCTCAGGGGCATGAAGGGACGAGACTTCCACGTCTTGCTCAAGACACACACGAGAAGATTGGCTTAAGGAGCCTTGACAGGACAGTCTAAACCCTAAACCCTAAACGTGTGAAAAAAGAAGGGAAGCGCACGGGAGGCGATCGCGAAGTCTTCGGGCCTCAACTTAGGGCCGAAGGTTGGGGCGGCGGGTGGTCAAGTGTGGACTCTCAACAACACTTTCGACGACTTAAGCTTAGCAACATAGACGAGAGCACTTTGGGAGACAGCCTACGATTTCAGGAAGAGCTTCCTAAACCTTTTGGAGATGCTCTCAAGCCTTATAAACTCTAAACCCTAAGCCACCACATCATTCCGAATGAACGACGAAGTCTCTGAGGATATTGAGATGGGAAGGAGCCAGGGTGGAGGGTTGAGGGTTTGGGGTGCTGAGTTTAGGAAACATCGACATCAACCAATGAACCCAGCTGCACCTCGATTTCGAGAAGTGAAACATCAAACGTTCCACCTCCCATGTCGTACACCAGAACCTCACCATGGTGGGTGTTGGGATTTCGGGTTAAAGTTTAGGGTTTCGGGCAGAGTTAGGCCGCAAACGAAGGGTTCAAGCTCAGAGGAATGGCTTTGTTTGCAATAGATATTCAATAGACTGTCTTGGCAACTGCTGATATCCAACTGCCAACGCACATTCTTGAAGTGCAAAGGCTGCCTGGCAACTGACTTCGACAAAGCTCGTCATCATGCAATCACTTCCTGTGCAATCCTGACTCGAAGAACCACATGGGTTGGACAGCCCACTGCTCCTGAACACATATTGCCTGCAAAACCAATCAACCTGGGTCTATATTTCCATCAGACTTGACGCACTGAAGGCTGCAATACTAACCCACACAGCAATCATGAGTCCCCAAGATGAAAGCAACCGCCAGCCCAAAATCAAAGTTTGAACCTCTCCAGGTTGGGGTCTTGGGCTTACGGATCGGATGTAAGACTTACCCGTAGCTAGATCCCACGCTTCAAAACCTGGAACCAAGCTTCGGGCATTGCGAGCACTCCGCTCTCTGGAATCTAAGCCTTGGGCGATCCATATATGACAATGTAACGTTATTGTATATTGTTGCATCATCTTATGTTTAGGCGACAGCACTTCGCAACAGACCTGCAGCTGCCACACGTCCCATGGATCTTATGGGTACTCCGGCGGAATCCACTTGTGTGTGTGTGTGTGCGCGTGCGTGTGTGCGCGTGTGTTTGTTTTTGTATCTGTATATATAGTTTCACAGAGGCATGTCCTTTTTTAATACAGATGCAGCGATTCGTCTACCTGTGTCTATCTACATATTATATATATATATGTGTGTGTATGTGTGTATATATATATATGGTTAAAGGGTCAAACTCTACCGCTGCGTTTTGGGCAGTTCAAACACGCCTGTTGGACGACATCGCTGTCAACTCTTACGCTTATGGGCGTTGGTGTACTTGAAGACCTAAAATACACAACAACCCTTTCCCTTGACACAACCAAAAAACCAAAACCTAGAATACCAAAAAAACCAAACCAAAAATACCAAAAAAAACAAAACCACAAATACCAAAAAAACCAAAACCGAAA